AATATAAACTTTTAATAATATAATTGTAAAAACTAGATTTAAAAAAGATACTAATATAAAAAATTTAGACAAATAAGAATTTTTAAATAAAAGTATTATTAACTAGATTGTTAAGTTCAGACTAAAAAAAATATTAGACCAAACTTAATATACTAAAAACAAATTATAGTTCTTCTAAACTATCTAAATTATAAATTTAAAAACAAAGCAAAAATATATTAAAATATTAAAAATTGTTGTAAAATTAATACTAAAGTTTAGATAAACTTTGCAAAATTATAATTTTGTTAATAAAACTATTAAGTAAGTAAATTAGTTAATAAAAAGCCTTTCTTGAGTTTATTGCCAAGTAATATGCTTTGAAATAAATAACAACTTGTATATAAGTTTAGAAAAAAAAATATGCTGCTTAAACAGTATATATAAGTATATATAAAAAATTAATAATAGTTTAAAGTTAATAGAGACAAATAATCAAAAGGTTTAAATAAATAATCTTCAAGTATGATATCTAGTATAAAACCTTAAAGCAAACTATTTAAATAAGCAACTAAAAGTTGCATATAAGACTAATTGTACTTTTATGTCTGTAAAAAACAATTATATTAACTAATTTCAAGTTACTAATAAATTATTGCTACAAAGTATAACCTTTAACAATTAAAAAAAAAATAAAATAAAATAAAAAAAAAATAATTTTTATTTTTAATCATTATTTAACAACTAAGATTTTAAATTTAATTTGATTTAATTTGATTCAAAATATATGAATTTAAATTAAATTTAAATCTGAAATTCTTAAGTTTTAAAAGTTTTATTAAATTTTTTTAAATATTATCTAAGGCAATCATCACTTCAATTCTATATCTCAAAAATGAAACTAAAAAACAGAAGTCAGATATACTAAGTAAACATGTTCAAAACTCTTCAAAACTTTATACAAGCTAAATTTAAAAATATTATATTTAACCCCTATCTTGGTCTTAAAGTCTGCCCTAACTAGGGTTTAGGGCATGGGAAAAAAATTGGGCATGCCCCTCATGCCTATGTGCATGCCCTTTTTAAATCATATGATTAACACTAGGGCTCTGCAAATGCCCATGCCTGGCATATTGGCACTATGCCAGACATTAATATGCCAAAGGCACAAAAGTGCCAGGCATTACTATGAGTATGGGCACAAAATACCAGGCATTATAATAGACACAGGCACTAAAGTGCCTGGCATTATTATAGGCACTATGAGCATTATTATAAGCACTATGGGCACTATTATAGGCACTGTGGGTACAGTACTAGCACTATAGATACTAAGTGCCAGGCATTATATAAAGGTCTGCAAATGCTTATGCTCAGCACATTGGCACCAGACTGCGCACTAGCGCCTTATGCCAAGCCTGTGCCTATAGGCACAAAAGTGCTAGACACTATTAAAAGCATAGGCACAAAATGCTAGGCACAAGGTGCTGGACAAAGTGCTAAACACAATTAAATAATAAATATCTAATTTCTGTGCCCATGCATGTGTCCATGCCCATGTTTAGCTTTTTTGTTGAGCACAAAAACAAGCCTGAGTTGCAGACCCCTAAATGCCAGATGTTATAGGCACTAAGTACCAGGACTATAGGCACTAGGAATGGCAAATGTTTTAAAACGTAATCTTAAAAAACATGTTTGATTATGTTTAATAGCTAACTTATTTTTGGCATATATTTTCACCTATCGGAAGGATATTAGTTCCGATAGGCATAACAGATATCTAATACTTTTTGTTAGAAGTATCTAATATTTGATATGCCTATTTAAACCAATATTCTTCTGATAGATGAAAATACGTTAAAAATTGGTTAGCTTTCAGACATATCGATGTCTGATATTCTCAGAAATGTTATATGTAAAAATTTTAAAATTCGATCTGTGCAAATTAAGGTGAATAATAGCATACAGCATTTATATACCATATTGCCATAATATTTTTGTTGGGGTAGCTATCTCCAAAATTCCAAATGTCTGCATCTCTAATAGTATCTAGACACAGTTGTCAGATGAACATAGCATAGTAATCAGAGCGAATGTAGCATAGTATTTAGAACTGGATATAGCATAGTAACTAGTAAGTAGTTAGAACTAAATATAGCATAATAGTTAGAATTGGACATAGTATGGTAATTACAGAATTAGGACTAGATGTGGCATGTTTGTTAAGAATTGAATATAGTGTAGCTATTAGAGCTAGATGTTAAAATTAAACATGGCATGGTTGTTAGAGCTGAACGTAGCAGGGTTGTTAGAGCTAGATGTAGCATAGTAGATAGAACTGAATGTAGCATGGCAATTAGAACACAGTAGTTAGGCTCTGAGTATGATACAGTTGTTAGAACTGAATATAGCACAATTGTTAGAGCTAGACATAACATGATTGTTAGAACTGAACATAGTATGATTGTTAGAACTAAATGTAGTATTATTGTTGTTGTTAGAGCTAGATATAGTATAGATGATAGATTCTGAATATAGCGTGATAGTTAGATTCTGGGCATAGCAAGGTTGTTAGGTTCTGGACATAGCATAGTAGTTAGACTAAATATAGTACAATAGTTAGAACCAAACATAATGCAATAGTTAAAACTAAACATAACATGATATTTAGATTCTAAGATATAGAAATTAAATTTTAGACATAGCATAGTTGTTAGAATTGGACGTAGTATGATGTTAAAGCTGGACATAGTACAATTTATCAAAGCTAGATATAGCACGATTATTAGATTCTAAATTTAGCATAATAGTAGATTCTGAAAGTAGCATAATAATTAAATTCCAAATATATCACAATAGTTAAATTTGAAATGCATATAGTAATTAAGTTCTAGACATAGTGCAGAGTTAGTAATTAGATTCAAAATGTATATAGCAATTAGGTTCTAGACATAGTGCAGTTGTTAGTAGTTGAATTCGAAATGTATATGTCACATCTGAAGTAGCAATTCATTTGCAGTAGCGCCTAACTAAAATTAAACCCCTGAAATTAGATCTTCATACATGCATTAGATTTTAATTTTAGCCAGGGCGCTACTTTAGATATATAAAGTGGCTACTTTAGATAAATCACTACTTCAGATGTGACATATATAGCAATTAAATTCTAGACATAGTATAGTAATTAGCAGTTAGATTCGAAATATATAGTATATAGTTAAATATAGTAATTAGGTCAAGATGTAGTGCAGTAGTTAGTACGTAGTTGAATTTGAAATATATATGATATAGTAATTAAATTCTAGACATAGTACAGTAGTTAGCAGTTAGATTTGAAATATATAGTATATAGTAATTAGGTTAAGATATAATACAGTAGTTAGTACGTAGTTGAATTCGAAATGTATTTAGTAATTAAATTCTAGACATAGTACAGTAGTTAGCAGTTAGATTCAAAATATATAGTATATAGTTAGATATAGTAATTAGGTCTAGATTTAGTACAGCAGTTAGTATGTAGTTAGATTCAAAATATATGGTATACTGTATATAGTTAGATATAGTAGTTAGATTTGAAATATATATGTAGTATATATATAGTTAGAATTGAGATACAATAGTTATAAAGTATTTTTTATGTTTTTTTTTTATCTATATATATTATATAAAGATGAATATGTATGTTGGATAACTAAATTTTGAGATTTTGGTTAGTGATATTTGATAATAAAATTAATAAATAAATAAATATTTAATAAACTATCTGACTAGATTTTGTTACTAAATTAATATATTACTTAACTTTATAATATAACCTGTTAGCAAAGTGACGGGTTATATATTAGTTACTTATAAAAAATTTTATATATATAAAAAAATCTCCAGGCAGCCGGGTTCAAAAATTTTTCAAATGTTATATAAACCAGTTTATTTTATTTGTATCGCCTAATTTAAAATTTTTATTGCATAATTTTGCATAAATGGATAGGCAGCATATGCAGAATTTGGGGTTTGTTGTCGCAGAAAGTGATAAGCCCTACCTGCGCCCATGCCTGTGCCCGTGCTCATTCCTGTGCCTGTGCCCATGCCCATGCCTGTGCCCATGCCTGTGCCTATGCCCATGCCCGTGCCCATGCCTATGACCATGCCATTCTATACCCATGCCCATGCCTATGCCTGAATTTTTATACCTATGCCTATGCCTCATGCCTAAGCTTTCATGCCTATGCCCATGCCCATGCCTAAGCTTTCATGCCCATGCCCATGCCTGGATTTTTTGTTGGGCATGGGCATGAGCCTGGGTTGCAGACCCCTAATTAACACAGTTTAAAAATCTTACATGTTGATTTAGTATCTACGGTTCTAGTTTACCGGAACTTATTAGCCAATTAAAATAACTTTAAACATCACATGACAAGGGCATGCCCTTTGGACTTGAGGCATGCCCATAGGCATGCCCCATGCCCCTGTGCCCTAACTCTAAAAATAGTAAGGCGATGATCACCTCAGGTTATTATATTTTTAGCAAAAAATTATCTAAAAATAAAATCAATACCTTCTGCTTTGCTAAATACTAAATTTCATATATCTATTTGTTACATAATAAATTCATCAAATTGCCAATCAAATATCCTATACTAAATATCAAATATACAATTTATTTTTTGAATTTTGATCGAATAAATTTTATTTCACATTTAAAGTTTGGCACATTACTTATAAATTTATAAATTATTTAACTAAAAAAAGCTTACGATAAATAAAAACTCAATTCCGCCATCTAATATTTAAAATAATGAATGTCAGTATAAGTTACAAAATTTACAAAAGGAACATCAGATGCATTCAATTTAGAAGTGTTAACGTGACTGCAGACAATATTAGTAGACTTATAAAAATAACACATTTAAAATACTAGCTATCAGTGAATCAATAGTCTATAAAACTATTCGCTAAACAATAGATTAGATTTCAAAAGCGTCTACTTGTAGTGCTTGAAGAAACATTAACACCTATATCGCTTACATTTTGAGTTGGCAATCTTTGCCACCACTGGCAACTTTGTCACCACCTGGACTCCAATCAACGCTAAATACCTTTAACACGTGCATGATGATATATATGCAAGTAATATTAGGATAAATAAGCCTAACATAATTAATGGTTGTTGTGGTACAAACCTCATCTAAATGGCCCGGTAGATCTATTTTAACCTTTTTAGTTTTTAAGTTCCAAATTTTCAAAGTACTATCTTTACTTGAGCTAATCAACAAACGACTGTCGGAGGACCAGCAGACTTGATAAACCGGGCCAACATGGCCTCGCAAAGATGCAATAAATCTTTGAATTCAAAGACGTTAAATTGAATCAAGTTGTTTATGCGATAATAAATTAAATAAAATAAAAATGAAATTTATTTGACCTGCCCGTAAATCCATCCCAAAGTTTTACCGAATTATCAAAGCTAGCACTAGCGAGCAAACGTCCATCAGGTGAAAAACTCGTACAGTTGACAAGCTTTTGATGTCCGGTGAGCCTTGCTATCGCTTTCTTACTTTCTGATGGTTCCCACAGAAACATAGTAAAATCATCAGATCCAGAAACAAGTCGTTCAGACTTATTTCCTGTAGCTGTTTTATATCTTTCCAGAGCTCGTTCTTGTGCTATGGTCAAATTATAGAATTTATTTAATAAGTTATGGCGTAGTTATTCTAAGAATGAAAATTCATGATTCTGTATACCGGCTAATTTTTTCTATTATACCTTCATTTTCATCTTTTGGCTTTTTGCCAGTATGATCGAAAGCACCCGTTCTCAGCACAAAATCTGTGCTCAATGCAAGAGTATTAACCCAATGACCATGACCTTCTAATGTTCTGACTAGCTTGCCCTTCATATAATGTAAAAAAGCGAATATGTATAATCATAACCGTACATAAATCCATAAATTGAAGTTTTTTTTTATACCTGCGATGCGTCCCAAACTTTAATTGTCTTATCTCGGCTAGAAGAATAAAGTAAACCATTTCCACCCCATTTTATACACGTTACGGCAGCAGTATGTTGTGACATGGTAGCGACAACGCGACGCAAGGTAGTATCCCAAATACGGATAGTACCATCTTTGGAAGAAGAAGCCAATTTGTTACACTTTGAATTTCTAAATGATAGCATTTTATATATTAGATTTAAAGACTTTTTTTTTTTTTTTTTTTACGTCTTAACTAGATGATATATCGCATACAAATGAAGTGGTTCCCAAGCTAAACAAGTAATCCATTGTGTGTGTCCTTTTAACGGATCACCTATAGGCTTTCCTATTTTAGGGTCCCATAATCGCACCTAAAATAATAATGAATGAATTGGTTGAAGACAAGACTTTAAGCAATATTATAAGTCATGATAATATCAAACCGTTTTGTCCATGCTTCCGGATGCCAATATCCTTGCATCTGGTGACCAAGCAATATATAATACCCAACCTGTGTGACCTAGGTTTTGGCAATATATATTATAGTTCTTTATTCAAGTAATAAATTTTTTACAAAATTTGTGAATGCATGCTTAGACGAACCTGAACAGGTATAATGAGGTGTATCTGTGTTTAAATCCCATATTCTAATAGTAGTATCACCTATTTAAGTGGTTAATAAATGGAAGTTACTTATTGTATTGTTTCTACAAAAAATAAAGAAATTTATATATACCTGACCCCGTTGCAAGTTGAGTGCCATCTGGACTAAAACTAACGGATAAGATTGCGTCTTTATGACCTAAATAAGAAAAATAGTCAATAATGATTATTACTCCTGATCTTCCTAAGTAATATATTTTTATGTACCATTTAAAGTAGAGCTACACCTAGTCACCGCTCTAACTTTAAAGATTGCTTGTGGTTGATAAACGATCTTTATCACATCTTCTGTCGATCTTTTAAGTCCTTGAATGATATCTTTATAAAGTGAAGATGAAATTTCTACACCATCAACCGAAAAAGAATAAGGAAGAGGGTCATCCTATATATGAATATAATACTCTTGATTCTTGTTTTATTTTTTTTATATAACTTTAGATATATATAATTAAGTCGAACGTTATTTAACAATTGATTAATCAGTAGTCCTAATTGCTCAGGAGTGACATTAGCTGGCAAACTCAGTTGTGGACCAGTAGTTTCCCCATCGAATGAAGTCAATTGAGCAATTACTGTCCCCGCGTCTTCTCCTGTTTGATCTAGATTCGAAGACTTTGGCTTTAATTTTGGAGGGCCTTTCGTTGACATCTTTATTAAATTTTATCAATCTAAGCAATGTCTAATCGGAAAAAAAATTTCGGTGGTCATTCATCCATTCATCTGATTGGCTGATGCAAATCAATTCGAATTTTGGTTGTAATTCGCATGTTACCATTCACTGCGCAAAAGCTAAGAGAAAGATGCCTAAATGTACATTCCATAAAACGAAAAAAGGTAACTGAGAACGTTATCTCTAAAGGCCGAGCTAGCAAAACACTGTCGGATTATGTGAAAATAGATGCTTTGCTTAAATTGTAGTAAATTGTTCAACTGCCGTCTAAATATTTGGGTTTGGAGTTTAGGTGTGAATAACCAGAACAAATAGGATTGTTTAGCTATGCTTAAAAATTACCTGGCAAACTAAATTTGGGATAACAATATTCCAATCCAAATATTGGCTTGATTTTATTGGCTAACAGGTGGTCAATACAAATAAAAAAAGGAAAACTTTTTTATTATCACTCTTACTATTATTTGTTAACATTGTAATGATACTCAGTTGCTATAATAGATCAGAAAAAAGACCTCACTCAATTAATGCAGTAATGTTTGAGCAACTATTATTAATTCTATGAAAATTTTGCAAATATGAATTATGCAAAAAGTTTGTTGCCAGGAATGAATAAATATACTAGAAAAAAATTTTTAATGTAATAACTAGGTATTTGGTATCTTATTTAATTAATAAGCACATTTGATCGGTTAGAAAGACTTTTAAATTGAAAATTTTTTGTTGATGCACAAAGGCAACTTTATAAATAAAGCTTTAAGCTATTAATTATTAATTTTTAACTAGCTAGTGAAATTTTATTGAGTAATAATATTAAAACTGTTGTAAAAGCAGTTATACATTAAATATATATCTATTGCGATGAATTAATTTTTATTTCCTATCCCTTTGCTAAGACACGTATATCAGTATAGCATTCCAAATCTTTTTTAAGATCGGTTCCAATAAATGTCAAAGTTTCGAACTAATTTTACATATACACCTTTTTTTAGACCTTCAAATGACGGCAAACATTAGTATAATTTATGTTCTTCCAGATCAGCTGATAATCAACAAGATGACCTTCAAATGACAGCAAATATACGTGTAATTTATTATAGGCAGAAGTTCGTCTGATTGGCTAATAAATTCATTTTAATTTTACATTATTTATACAGTTTAGAGTGCTTTTAAAAAAAAACCGAAAACTAACCACAATAAAGTAATAAAAAACATATAGGTTTCATTAGAGTTGTAGGACTCCATAGTCAAAAATAAGATCTAATTCTAAAAAAAATTAGCTTAGTAATAAGTTGATTTTAGCGGGTTTTGAGAAGTTATTACTATACTAACTTTTTTAAGCAGACGAGAATTAGATCTTATTTTTGGCTATGGAATCCAGCTCTAGTGAAACCTTCTACACAGCTTTTTTATTTCACTATGATTAGTTTTCGTTTTTTTTTAAAAAAGTACTCTAAACTGTATAAATAATGTAAAATTAAATTGAATTTATTAGCCAATCAGACAAACTTCTGCCTATATGTAATTTATGTTCTTCTGGATGCCTTTTTTAGACCTTCAAATGATGAAAAAATATCATTGAGAGTTATAATCAAAAAAAAAAGAAACGCATTTAAATATGGTAATGTATTTCTGTATTTGGATGTAATTGGTTTTTTTGGATTCTTAAAAATTTACATTATCGTGAAATTTACAGTAAAAGTAAAAATTGCAATTAATTGGATTACAACAATTTTAGTTAATCGTTATTGCATAAAAATTAGGTTGTAATTAATTTTCAGCACTCCTGATTTAAAAATGCTTTCTTCGAACAGAATCTTTATTACCAACAACTGTCGCAAAAGCAATCTGTAGTTTAGGAACCGTTAATATTCACCTAACGAACTTTGCTTAGAAGGCAAAATGTACACCAACTACTGAGATGCGCGAAATTATGCTGCAAAAGTAACTGGAAATGTTTTAAATGTTTTCGTCCAGCATTATTTAAAATAACCTTTTATTGCCAACTGTTTAATTTGTCCAAAAGGTGATTACGATTGATAAGTATCAAATTCTAATTATCGTTATGTCAAATATTTTTAAAAGGGCAGGCCGCAGATTTTTGGACGATCACGGGGTCGCGATATAATTGGTCAATCGCACTCTGATAACAAATATATAAGATTTATACATATTTTTATTAATCATTACATATAAAAAAGTCAAAATTTTATTAAATAAATCAATATCATATTAAGTAAAGTTATTCAGGAGATCAATACATATATATATAAATATATATATATATATATTCTAAAAGTTTATTAATATAATTTTATTTTTTATATCTTACAAAATATTGAGAACCAGGCTGGTTCTGAATCAACGCAAGTTTAACTTAGGTTTGGAACTTATTATATAAAAATCTGGTTCTTTGGTTTTTAATTTGAAACCTAAGGTTTTAGAACCCAATCCAAACCTAAACTAACTTTATCATCCTTAATTCCACTCAAGAATATTTCAAATTATTCATACATTTCATTAAAACTATCTTGACCGTCGCTGAGGAGGAGGAGGTGGTGGGGTACTGTTTAAAAATCTTCGATTCCCACCACCATAAAATTGACCATATGGTATATCACCATAACCACCATCATAACGCGGAGGAGGTGGTGGCGACAATTCACCATAGGGAGAAAGTCCAAAGTTCATATGATGTAGTTGCATAGCATTATAGTAACGAGGATCTCCTGTATCATATGGTATTCCATACATTGGACTAGCATTTTGACTTCGATTTCCTCTTGGTGGATATCTTATACGCCCATCTGGTCCAATTAATTGTTCTTCATCTATTGGATATCGCCTCTGTCTTTGTGGTTGACGCATTTCATTATTATTATGACCAGGAAATTGTGGCAACGCCTGTGTTATTTCTCTTTTTTTATTACTAGCCAATTCTTTCTTTAGCTCTTCGGTTTGAGTTGGATCACGGGGACGTTTGTTTGAATTTAATGATGTATCTATCGAATTTTGAATTTCTTGTTGGTCTTTCGTTAGTTTTTGAGGTCTTGGAAATCCAGTAACTGCTGTAATTCGAATAGGAACATCTGGCATGTTTTGATTTTCTATCTCCGGTTTTTCTGTTTTAGTCGCAAAAGGAATGACTGGCAAATGCGTAGATGTCTTCGATATATTGGGTGAACCAACACTTTCTAACGTTTTTGTAGCATTGCTGACTGGTATTTCTCCCTTGTTCATATTACCAAACATCCAGATATCTGTTACTGCATCCGTTGTGTTATGATCACGGCTGCGATGGTTTATAAATTTATCCATCTTAGTGAAATACCTATTACACCCTTTCCAGGTGCATACGACGAGACTAGTCTCATTAGGATCAGCTTTATATCCCACACAATTCTTAATGTTTTCTTCTGTAGTGATTTCATCAATGATTGCAGGGCTCGATGCTGCATATTCCACTGCCTCAGTCATATTTCGATTTTTCTTTTGCATTTTGTTGTCCATCCTTTGCTTTATCTGATTGCGTCAGCATGGCGGACATTCGATTTGATTGGTTTATGAAATTCTGAGTTACACAACATAGAAAACCATAAAATTTTCTTTTTAAAAAAACATTTCGTACATACGTTTGTTTTAACCAAAAAAGATCAATGTAGATTATTATTATTGCTAAAGAAAATAAAATTTGAGTTGATAATATTTACGTATTTATAAATATATTCTGAAATTCTTTATTTACTAGACAATACAAACCCAGCTGGGTCAAAATATTCCAATGACCATGGATTTTTTAAAAAAATATTTTTTAAAAAATGGCTTTATATAAGTAAATTATAAATTTTTTATTTAATTTAGTTTCAATCAAATTAATTAATAAACTTAAAAAAGTTAAATAAATATTTTGACTTATATACGGGTGATGCCAAAAGAAAGCCAAACTTCGATTATATAGTTTAAACATTACCCCTAGTTATTAAAATATTATAAAATTATTTTTAATTTTTGGTTTATAAAATTAAAATATTTTAACAAAAAAAAATTAAAATTAATTAACATAATAGGCTTTATAAAGTTATTTACTTAGATGGATATTATCCTTATAATTTTTATAAATTATAGAATAAAATTTTTAAAATTAAAATTAGATTTTAGAGTTAGGATTAAAGGCTAGATAAGGTTTTTTTTAGAGTATCAAATATTTTTATTTTATGTATTCGACATTAATTACTTAAACTATTTTTAAGATATAACTAAAGCCCGCAATATTGTGAATTTATTTAGTAAATCCATTATATCAAGCAGAATTTATTATGGTGTGATCTTAATTTTAATCTATTATAACAAGATTTTACTTACAGTTTAATCATTGTTCCTTTTCTAATATTTAAAAGAATTATATTACTTCATAAAATAAATGTACCAAGCGATACCTTATAAAAAAAGCGATACAGCTCGTAAAAATCTGAATAATAATGACGACTATGGTTAATGTTCGTTCATTCATTGAGCCAAATTTTAATAATAATAAATTCAATAAAGTAAAATTGTTAACTTCAATGCTATTTTCTAATTCAGTTATTTCAACAAGACTGAGTGATGAAAAAATTTTGAGAATAACAAGTGCCGAGACTCCTAATGGTTTTTGCAAACGAGCTCTACTATAATCTAATTTCTGCGTTGTCGGATTGAATCTATAGCAAAAAAAAGTAAAATTTGCTAACTCATACAAAAATTAATTAATAATATATCGATATCTACTTACCGTGGCATACGATGTCGTGGACAATCTATCAATTTAAACAATTGTGGCGCGGAATATATAAAGTTGAATATTTGCGGTATAAAAAATAATAGTAAAGTTTTACTGAAATGTGCAAGTATTCCTACTACTGTGAACGTCATTCCAGCAAAGTAACAATACGTGTCTCCAACAAAGACACGTGATGGATACCTATAATAAGTTTTAGATTTAATATAGTTGAAAATAAAAAACAACCAAATATTATTAACATACCAATTGTGCATCATTAGCCCTAGCGAAACCCCAATGAAAGGAAGAATAAAGTATAACGAAAATAAATGTGCTTCAACGGCAGGATCAGTTCCGTTCAAGAAAAGATAATCATTGAATGCAATTGAGCACGCGATAACTAATGATTGTCCGATTTCTACTCCATTAATACCAGCTAGAATATTAATGGAATTTGTACAAAAAACGGCTACCATGCTCATATAAACATAATATAATGATCCTTTTTTTTTTTTTTTTTAGAAAATATTATATAGTGAAATTTAGACAATTTAGGTATGTCAAACACAGTCGTGTAACTTACCCAAGTCTACAAACCGTCCAAACAGAAACCGTAGCGGTATTGGCATAATTATATGGGTCTCTCCAAAATTTACATAGTACACCATTAACAAAGGAATAGACGCGATAGTTGGTAATAAAAGTTTATACCTCCATCGAATATCAAAGACATCATCAGCAAAACCAAGAAAGGTCATTGATTGTAGAGACAACAGTGCAGATAAGAATTCTCCCAACTAAAATTTATCATTATATCATTCATATATGACAGATTATCAATTGGTGACCAATTCCAAAATATGTATGACATTACCTTATGATGAGGAAAAGTTGGCTTTTGAAATTCTTCTGTATGCGAGATAATACCTTTACCTGTAAACCATTCCATGAATGGAAAGGGAATAAATAAGAACAAGCATACTAGGTAAACCGTCGCACATACAACACCCATGCTTTCTGGACTGTATCAAATGCACATTCAAATATATATACAGTTGTTAATTCAGTAATCGCATAAACCAATTTTCCTTATTATAATTACATGATCTGTTTGTCAAGCTTATTCAAGTCTTTTCCAGCCAAATTTGCTTTTAAAAAACTATCATTTAACACGGGAACAAGCCGCCATGTTATCGCACAGCCAAGTATCGAAAACCCTATCGAAGCTGATAATGGATCATGAACAGTGTTGAATATTATGACTAACGCAAGAAGAATGACTGACGTGAGAGTTAATGAAACTGTTGTGGTAAGCATATCCGGTTTTATAATCAAGAAATGCGCGAAAATGGGAATATTTATAGAATCTCAATTGATAAGTTTATAACACGCGTGAAACTCTTATTGGTTGTTTATTGTTGATCATAGAAAGAAATTCGTCCGATTGGTTATATTTGCATCGATTATGCATGTGATCGAATCCATTCGATTGGCTAATTTTTATAGCGATGCGAGATTGTGATTGTCTTAGAGCGACGATCAAAAATTTAGGAAAATGTTTCTGGACAAATTTTACCATAGTATTCCCAATCAGATTTCGAGATCAGGTGTAACGTGAAAAAAGTTCAAGTCAAAAATCCCCATAACTCAAAATTTTGCCTATGCAACTACTTCTGCATACTAATAAAAAGGTTTCTTTGAAAAATTTGATATAAATGTAGCCCTCTAAACTCAACTCACTAGCAATATCCTAAACCTAACCTAAGAGCGAAATGTTTTTTTCATAGCAAAAATTTTTTAGACTGGCCTAGTTCTAAAGCCAGTTAGTCACGTGACAAGGGCCAATCAAGAACTACCCCGACGACGGGACGATCTACGGACACGTACCAATTCATAAGACTTGCACGTACCCTAACTTTAGGGTAAGTATATTAGCATATGACAGGTTTTAAATTTATAATAAATATGCGCAAATCACACAAATCAGTACGTGTTCGTAGATGGTTCACCCCAACATCCCGAATTTAGCCAATTAGAATTTATGATACAATTTAATTACATATATGTCGCATCTGAAGTAGCGATTTATCTAAAGTAGCCACTTTATATATCTAAAGTGGCACCCTGGCTAAAATTAAAATCTAATGCATGCATGAAGATCTAATTTCAGGGGCTTAATTTTAGCCAGGCGCTACTTCAAATAAGTCGCTACTTCAGATGCGACATATATACTAATTTCTTTAATGATTATTATTATTATTATTATTTGGTGTTAAGGTCAATTATTATTATTAAAATAACGTTAATTATCTATATTGATACAAATTTTTCTAAAAAATGAAGAATATATAAATTTTATCAAATTTTAAGAAATGTATAAGATGCAATAGAATTATTAATCAAAACCAATTTCTTAGCATTAATTTAAATAATTATAATAATTCTTTTAATAATTCTTTTTTATATTGGCAACAATTTATTAAAGGTAGGATGTAATATTTTAAAATTATATATAAACATGATATATTTTTTTATAATTTGAATTACAAAAATTTTTATTAATTAAATATTTTTTAAGCTTTTAAATAAAGTTATAAAGTAAGTTTTTATAATCTTAACAGTAGTAAAATTATTAAAATTAGTTTAAAACTTATTAATATATAAATTTTTAAAGATTAGATATAAAAATTTACTCTATATAAGCATGTATAATGTCTATTTGTATGTTATTTGATTGATCTGCACGTTATTTTAAGTATACTTATATGTGTTATTTTAAAATAAGAGCTGATTTTTAAAACCAAATATTTTTAAAATAATATATATGAGTCTTATATAATGAAATTAAAATTAAGTTGCAAAACTAAAACAAACTTATTTATTATTATACTACTAATAACTAATGTTTTGCATAATACAGAATGTTTTAAATTTAACTTATTTTGAAAGTAGATATGCTAAAATATAATAGTTAATTTAGTTTTTTAAATCTTTTTTAAATAAATAATTATATAGATATTTTAATGTTAAAAAATAAATAAAAAAAACATATTATAATTATAAATTTTTTTTTTTTTTTAAATATTAAAGTAAGTATATATAATCCAGAATTTTATTAATAATATTAATTGGCCAGCATCTGTTAATATAATAGTGCAGAGGCAATCATAGAAAGTATATACAACTAGCTACTTATATAAGTTTAGTTATTGTCTAATTTAAGTAGTCTGCCTGAAGGTTTTACATTAGTTGCTATATCTAAGATCTATTTGTAGATCCTTTATTTAAATACTCTAATCCTATATACATCACACTTTACTAATAACTCTAGTAAACTGATGAAGATATGCTATGGTCACTAAGTTATATTTAACTTTATACTAAATCTACTAGTGCATTTTGTATCTCATACTTATAGTTAGAAACCTGCAAATTGCTTATTTTTAAGGCTTGGCCTAGTCTGCATTTAGAGTTAAAATTTTTTTCTAACCTAACCCAGCCTATATTTAGAGTTAACATTTTTTTGTTAGCTTAGTCTGGCCTATATATATTAAATTTTTTCTTCTGCCCAGTCCAGCCTGGCTTGGTTTGCAAAAATTTCTTATATAATTTTATAAAATTTTAGACTTATACTGGCTTATAATTATAAAATTTTACAAATTTTTTGGCCTGATCCAGCCAGCAATTATAAAATTTTGCTTTAAACCTAACCCAGCCTGCAAAAATTTATAGGCTGGGTCAAGTCAGGCTATAAAACCCAATACAAGTCTCTATTTATAATTCATCTAGTATCACTTTGGCTTAAACTATTACTTACAGTTAGAGCTAATCAATAAACTACTATACTCTTATAAGGTTCACTCAAAATCTCAGTATCTACCTTTTTGATATCTTTTCTATTATTTCTTACTAACTGCTACTTATAACTAACAGAACTTCTTAGACTTTTAATTCAAATAAACTAGTATGATATACCTTAGTATTCTCTTCTTTGATGATTCTAACAGTCTGGTTAGTTATGAGCTCTTCTATACATTTTGCTATCTAATTTATCTGCCTATCACTTTAAAGATGTTTTATAAGTTTTTATTAGTTTAACAGTATTATCGAAAGTTTTATACTATCTTCATATTTAAAATTTTCAAATGAGTTTCTGATTCTTTAATTCTTTTACTTTCTGTACTTAATAGTTTTATTATAGATTTGTACCAAAGTCTTATGTAATACTAGTTATTAATATTCTTCTATACAGATATAATATTATACTTTGCATAGATGCTCTAAGCTCTTATTCGAGATAATGCAATTAAAGGTTACAAATATACTAATTCAACTAATTGACAGAAACAGTTACTATAACATAAATATATTTTTCAAAATTCATCATCTTTAGGATTTAAACTTTAAATCTGTCATTTGAGAGTTGACAGCTTAACCACTTTACTAGGTTATCATACCTTATAAAAAAGTTTTTTTATTATATATATAAGATAAAAAATAAATAAAAATAAATAAAACAGTTATATTAAACTATAGAAAGAAATGTTATTATTAGTTATTAAAAACTTTAAATATTTATAAATAGGTTTGTTATTAATTTATTGATTTAGTAATATGCAAAAGGGATTTGAAAACAAATTTTAAAAAAATGTCTGTTTAAACTTATGCTTAACTTATAATTTATTTTTTTTAAGTTGAAGTTTCTCTTTGCTTTTGGAGATTAATGTTTTTATTCAAGTATTTGAACATAAATACCTTTAAAGACTTCTATATATAAAAAGTTACAACTAGTCATATATGTACTTTTGATACCTAATTTAAATAGTCTGCTTATATATTACTATACAAGTTTTATACTAAGTACTATACTTGCAAACTAACTACAGATTTTATCTATTTAAATATTCTGTATATATATTCTAACTTGTAATTACAAAAACATCTTCTAGGCTACACCTATTCAAAGTATCTGATGTCTTTAAAACTCTTAGAACTAATTTATTCTTAATAGGAAACTTACTAAAATCTTTTGTGCTTTACATATAGCTAACCTAGTTTTATGCAATATGCTATAGTTATCTAATATTTGCAATTGCAAGGGTTATCTGTTTAACTGTTATATTACATTATTTTTATTCTTGTAAAGTTCACTAGAACCTTAGTACCTATTATCATAATGTTTTTTCTATTATCTCTTACTAACTAATACTTAGAATCAACAAAACTCTTTTGACTTTTAATTCAGATAGTCTGGTATGGTATATATATGTATTTTTTTCTTTTGGTGATTCAGGTAGTCTGGTTGGTTATATGCTTATCTGCATATCTTGTTATTTAGTTTATTCATCTATCTCTTTAAGAGTGTTTCATAAGCTTTTATCAGTTTGACTGTATTATTGAAAGTTTATACTATCTTTTTACTTAAGAATTTTCAAGTAGGCTTCTGACTTTTTTTTTTTTAAATATTAAGGTGAGTACTTGCGACCCAGGATTTTATTGATAGTACATTC